AATGCCTTGCCACAACACTACTGCAGCACCCCGTGTGGGTTCTGGTGGTCCATTGTGGGGGAAAACAAGATTAGACCAACTGCCTCCCCCAAAAGCATGTCGTCGGAGTCGAAGTGCGTCTGCGTAAGAAGCAAGGAACAAGCAGTCTGCATACAAATTAGTCAGATCTGTAAAACTGATGTGCACGCAACACTGAGCTTCTGAAACAAATCTAAAGTCCAGAGGTGGATCAAGAACCAGAACTTTCCACAGGAGTTTACAGCCGGCGAACGAGAACAAGAAGTAGAAGACGACTATTGCAGCTTCCAGTATTTGTACAAGAAATAACGTGCCACTTGCTTGTGTCTGATCTCATGTGGCATACCTGTGGAGAAACGCTGGATGTTCATTTGTCCCCAATTTTGTGTGAACCAGTGCAGCAAACACAGCTGTGTACAATACGAGTGGTCCCTCGTATCTCAGCTTCATTTAATAGCCTAAAATATTTTCATATTTGACAAATGTCAACGTCATTTCCACCCTAAAATACTTCGATGATGGGACAACCCCAATCCGGGGGTGTGGCGATGACAGAAATTGACGTTATAAAATCTTTCCGCAACCCTGCCAAACGAACACGATAGACACCGTTCTGTCTGGACAGTGATTATATCATTTTGTGCTTATCCGTATTTTAAAATCACTTTGGAATTTACAACTCAGAATTTCACCAAAGCCTTTAGGCTTTTTTCCCCCCGAGATATTTCCCTGTTTATACCAGTAGAATAAAGCTGCAACCTTTATAAATACTTACACTTTCATATGGTAAGTAAAATGATAATTTAACTTTTCGCCTTCTAAATTTTTTTGGTCTTAGGCTTCTTTTTTTTTCTCGAAAAACTTGTACTCAATGACTTGTACTCAAAAGTTAATTGTGTATCCTTTACCAGACGTTGCTAACCAACTGTGATATTGTTTTTTTAAAGTTTGTCCTTTTACTAGCAATTTTACTTTCAGTATTTTGCCATTGTCCTTTGTTCACTGTCACTTTAGAGGTCAACTTCACCGCACATCGGACATGGCAATAATGTCCCGATCTCCTGCTGAGTATGTCTGCATGAATTTTTAGGCTAGCAACTCCCATTATGTCTCCAGTCTGTCGATTTCTGTCTTGGTTAGAGTGAGAATTGACAGTACATATTCTACGATAGAGAGGATCAAACCCTGATAGAGCATGACTAGCAACTTTTGTTGACCACACATGGGAGCCATAAAACATCGCAGAGAAACGCTTTCTGGCCTTGTTGATCATAGTATATCAACTTGGCATCTGCAGCCAAGGCTCTGATTAAAACCTATTCATAAGTATTGTAAAAGTCGATTTATCGCCATCTTTTCATTATTCATTCGGACAGAGGGCGTTATTGTTTGTACTATGTGGTTGTTCAAAGAGAACCAAGTTAAAGTCGCTTTTGCAGTCTTGTTGTGTTACGGAGGTTTGACACCAACGTGCCATGTCTTCCAGTTCCCTTTGGAGTTCTACAATTCTGCCCTACTTCTTGCCTTGGCGGTACATTATTATGTCATCAGGGGTTTGGGAATAAAGGTGATCATTGCGATAATCCAGTATGTATGGTTTTCAACTCAGAGATCTATCTCCCACATTTGAAAACAGCCTGTATTGTGCCATTGTAGCTTGACGTGTCGACGCTCCTTGCTATTGTTAATATCAAGGGATAGATGTCTGTTGCTAAAATTGTTAGCTTAAAACGGGTACTAGATAAAGTCACAGGTAGGAAAACCTGCTTCCTGATGTTGGCTACGTCACTAACCGAGTGCCGATTGGTCTATAAAACATAGGTCTGGCCCTATATACCTAAAATTCCCAAGCGTGGATAAATGACCTTTATAATTTTATTACATTTATTTATTTATATGAGTTTCATTTCGGATTTACTTTTCATAGAATTATAATCAAGGGTATTTTCTTCGAGTGTATCAGCCTAAGATCGAAGGAACCAACAGTCTGCCTACAAAAAAGAACTATATACGTAAAACGGGCGTGCAGGCAAAACTCAGCTGCTAGAACAAGAATGCAATAGTGAATTGGGCGAACAACCACAACATATCAGACATTTCAACATGCCCTTAATCAGATAACTTTTACAACATTCTGGTTAACTCTGTCAGTACGAAGGAATTCACCATAGATTCATTGGTTACACTATATACCGTACACATTGCTTCACTTTTACTTTTCCATTCTTGTCCTATATTAACCCCTTATTTTCCAGATGTTTTAATAACATAGTCTATGCTCCACTTACAGCATTAGTTGCCTATCCTTTACTGCAGGTTGCATTACCAATCCCATAATTTTTGGGCTGTTACGGTTTTTCTGGACAAATCTACGTTCAGTAGTTTGACATTGGTTACTCACCGGTCGATTGCAGATACCACTGTCAAAACCAAAGCAAGACGGTCTGTTGCCGAATCGCCTGCAGCTAGGATCAAACCCATTTTTCAGCATTTTAAGTCTTGACAAAAAATAGTTGTTTAAGGATACAAAAACTTGAGCATTGCCACTGTTGAACACAACACTATCTGGGACCGAAACAGTGAATAGCCAGTATGATTAGCCATTTGTCGCCACAATTCGGGCTAGAAATCTACACATGAAGTTAACAAATAACTGTGGTTGTCGTCCCCCCCCCCCCCCCCAGGTCCAAATATGAGAGGTAATTAAAAAAAATATTTAAATGTGCAGAACATGAATGACATGTAACTGTTTGAAATAAGAAACTGTTTCTATTTCAATGTAGCATTTGTTTTGTTTGGTTGTCTTTTGGAAGACTTTTAAGTGCAAGAAGTAATTCACAGACTATATTATTTTCACAGATACCATGACCAGAAATATACTCCATCTGACAATGCTGTGTGTTGTCATCAGAGCTGTCCAAACCGCTGAGATGGCCACACTTCGAAGAGAAGCCAGCAGCAGTCACAATACTGGTTGTAAGTAAATATTAATTGTCTTGGGTACACTTCAAACAAAAAGATAATCGTCATCATCATGTAGTAGATCCTTTGCAGAACGTCGCTCTCGTCACGGTCTATCTGAAAGAAACTCGGTCTCTCGCCAGCTCTCCCGCCTCGTGCACTTGTCAAATTATAGAAGTCACTTACACTATGTTCCCATTTTTTAGTTGGCCGGCCCCTGTCCCTCCTTTCAATCCGTCATGGCGCTTTTTGTCACCAAACTATTTCAACTTTCGAGTCAAGATGCTGTTTATTAGATTATCTTCTTTAGTGTTCGGATCTTTTAAAATAGCATTTTTTCTCCTCTTTTTTTTTCCACGGTATTCTAAAAATATTTCTAAACAATTTCAGCTCAAAAGCCTCTGAAATCTTCCGTAAGGACTGGGAGTTGGTACACTATCACATCCTTATTCTGCCACAAGGAAGACGCATTTTCTCACAATTTTACCTTTGATATCCTTGCTGGTGCTTAACCATAGACTTTGAATGCTGCTTAATCGTTGTATTGCTATGGCCATCCTCCTGTTGACGTCTATCGATCATTCTTTATTATTATTCTCTATGGAGCCTAGGTATTCAAAGTATATGACTTTTTCAGTTTAGTCATCATCTATTGTTAATTTTGGAAGACTGATAGTTTTGTCTGTGGACATTATTTTGTTTTCTTTGAATTCAACAATAGGTTTTGATCATCATTGTTTTTTGTGTGTATGTTTTTGTATGTTTTTTTAAATGTTATATTCCTTTTACATTGTTCGAAAGGAGAATTATATCATCAAAATGATATTACTATCCGAAATTGTTTCATTGCATTCATTACCATCCTCACTGTGTATCCTATCGATAAGCATAGGTGGTCTTACGGGATCTCGCATGATTAGCAGAATCACGAATCAGGTCAGTGTTCTTGTGGCGTTCTATCTTTGCCTTCCCCGATCAACAAGCAACAATTGTTTGCGTCCAATTTCTTGCTGAGTCTGATTTTATTACAGTTATATTACATGAACGTAAACATAACGACAGTACTCTTGTATTTTCTTGTATGTTTGGTCGTGTTATGAGAAGGAATTTTTTCCAGCACTTGGTAACCATGGGGATGGTATGAAAAAATAAAAAGAAGCAAGGGAAGACACCGAGACAAATGCATGGATGGGGCGGGAAGAGAGATTCTGGTGATGGTGTGGGATGGCTCACTATGACACCTTATGCTTTTTGCCAGGGCACATGATAGTGATGTTACATGCAGCTCACAGTTCTGAGGAGTTCAGGTGAATACAATGATCAAAGGAAATTAAAAATAAAGCTAAACTAAGAAGTATTTCGCTCTGATGCCTGTGGTCGGGAGAAAAAACACAGCTAAAACACAGCTAAAACAAACATTAAAAACAAAACTACAAACATTCATCAACTGGTAACTGCGCAGATTAGAGGGGATTAAATGGTATGAAAGAGTCAGTAATTCAGAGCTTTGGGAGAGAGATAAACTAATTCCAATGAGTCAAGAGATGGGGAAAAGGCGCTGGCGTTGGATAAGACTCATGTTGAGAAACCTGACAACAGTGCAAATAGAATGTCTTTGAGTTGGAACACACATGATAAAAGCAGTAAAGGCATGCTATAACAAAGGACTAAACTACTTGGTTTGAGCTAGGTGAGAGCCTAAGATCCACTGGGAGATAAAAGTAGAATACGTGAATAAGAGGTAGAAGAGACTTATGCGATGGCAAACAATAGGATGACTTGGCTCAAGTCTGTTGAAGACCCATGCTTCATTAGGGAAAAATAAATGTGTGGGTTCCGGGGTCCCATTGTACAGGATACAAAGAAAAGACTCACTGCCCACCCCTTTCCCAACAGTCATGTCCTATAGGTCGACCAGTTAGGGGCATTTCCTTCACAGCTTGAGTGATATGCCCGAGAAGCGAGGAACCAACAGTCTGTATAAAGATACACACGATCTGTAAAACGGATGTCAATGCAAAATGAAGAAGATTAGGGAGAATGTAAAAAAAAAAAACATCGAAGTCTACAGACAGACAGTCAATATTTTTAACGATGTACTATCTCTCAAAGTTCAATGCCCGAAACAAAGCGGGGAATTCTCCTACCCAGGCGACTGCACCAAGTTTTACCGCTGTGACAACGGCCAGCCCACAATATTTGATTGTCAAGCCCAGCTGTTATTTAACCCCGAAAGGGGCTTTTGTGATTGGCCTCAAAGTGTTAATACAGAAAACTGCACCAGACAAGACATCATAGGTAAGTGATGTTTTGTTTCGGATAATGTTATTCTTCTAAGTTTTTCAAATGGGCAATACGTGCCGTATTTGTTGACAAAATGCTACTATTGCTCAAACTGCATCAAAACATGCAGAAACAGCCTTCTCAGACTCTGATACATTGCTGTTTGAGACAGAAAAAGGTTTAAAACAATTCAGAAAAGGCAAAGTGAGAGGATGCATATTCTTATCCATCTGGCGCTCAAACTGTATCAGAACTTGCAGAAACTAATTCCTGACGCTACTATGCTGCTGTTTGAACCAGGAAAATCTTCAAACGATTCACAAGAGGCACAGTGAGAGGATACAACTTCGTCTCCATATGGTGCTCAAGCTGTATCAGCGTTTGCGGAAACAGCAATCCCAGACGCTAAAACTCTTCTGGTTGGACCAGGAAAAAATCTTACTGATTCGGATCTGACGCTATAAGAGGATGAATCTGAGGACGCAGAGATGAGCTAGAACCAAGACTTCATATATTGGCATGACCTATTTACACCTCTGTGTGTTTATCCTAGCAACAGGTTCATACCTCAAGCTTAGCCAGCGAAGAGAGGATCGATGTTTTCTTCGAATCTGGAGTACAGCTGCTTGTAAGGGGAGAAACCAACAATGTGTACACAATATATCAGAACTAGAAAAAAAAAGTGCCCACGACACTTAAGTCCTTGACAAAGAGCACAGTTTAAAAACAGACGATAGACCATCAACCAAGACTTTCATTGGGAGTTCACAGTTGGTGACCACAGGTGATTAAAAATAAAAATAAAAAAGAGGAGGAGGATAAGAAAGGAAAATAAAAGAATTAGTAGCAGCAGCAGCAGCAGCAGCAGAATAAGAAGAAAGGGTGGAGGATGAGAAGGATACGAAAAAGAAGTTATTATTATCCTTTATACATCAATAGATCCTAGACCCTTAACCACAGCACGCTAAACCATTCATGTTTTTTTGTTCCTTGGCCACCGCATCTGTCTTCATGTCTTTTTTTAAATTAATCATCCCGATCTCTAATTCAGAGATCTAATTAGATTTTGTTTTTAAATTTGAAAACCTTGCACATTCCGGTGATAAGACATTGTAGTGACATTATTGTGCGGTTTTGATAGTGTAGACTATATCTAGCGCCCGCTTGTTCTTATTATTTGCAAATGTGTACGTGTATATGTGTGCGAACGGTGTGGTATTTCCGTTTGATTATCTCCTGATCTCTGGCTTTAGGGATTCTGTCTTGTTACAGATATTTAACTCCTATTCCATGCAACCAGCAGTTAATGTTCGCAAAATGCTATCTTATGTGAGCCAGCCTTTTCTTACAGTCCATAATTTGTAATGTTGGTCGTCATGTGGTTCACAATCCTACACCTCATCTGCTGTCTATGATTTCTTATTCTCTAACACGGACGTTCTTCCATGCCAAGATACCAGACTGTTAAACATCCTCTGTCTTGTTCTCGTTAGGTCTTCTTTTTACCTTCCCTCCAGATGCTCTACTGTAGAATGTCTTACACACAGTTTCCCTGGCTGTTTTATTACTAGATAGGCGAACAGGCCATCATGTATGGTTGTCCACACTGGACTACAGGTTACTTAAAAACCGTTTTGTTCTGCCTCAAAATAACTGTGATATATGGCTAAACAGCTGAAATGAGGTTTCAGGAATTATTAACTGTTTGATTCTCTCCTGGATATGTCAGTCATACAGACTGCACGCCTTGAAAAACAAAAGGAAAAAAGGAAGTTGGTTGGTTGGGGGAAAGGGGGGGGGGGGGGAATTAAAAAATCAACTAGATGGCAAACCCCTTCTTTCTCTGCATTTTAAAGAAATTCACACGCAGCCTTGTTCCAATATTGCATCTAATTCCTCTATTAGTACGATTCGTGACCAGCTCCCTTATTGTGTTGATGAGTTTTCAGAGAGAACGAATTTCACAGGTAGTTATTTTCTGTTCCTCTGTCCTACTTATTGTCGATGTTTTGCACTTCTAGCATAATGCGGGGGTGGAGGTAATATTATTAATTGCTGTTTTGCAGTCAGGTTAGCATATGGGTGAGAGTTTTAATTAGTTAATCCGAAAGTTAATCTCACGGCGCATCTAATCATTCACTCGTAATACCTCCGTTTTTTTATAATGACACTGTAATTATTTAATTCATACACATGGACTGTTCTTTGGTCACGTAATGAAAAGAAAGGCATTGTAAAACATCGTGACAACTGGGAAGATCAGTGGAGTGAGGGATAGAGGCAGACCAAGAGAGGTAAGCCTGGATGGGCTGAAACGATGGCATGGAAGGATATCATCAAGAGAGCTTTTCCAGGCAACCAGTGATTGTGATATGTGGAGATGCATGAGCGCAAGGACATGATGATGCTGATGATACACATGATGATGGCCTTGCCATAGTTATTCAACTTTGAGACTAGTTTGCTGTGAAGATGTAACTGTGTCCAACGACTAACGACAGTGATTATTCATTATTATCACAATTATTCCCACCTTTTCGTCATGTTTAAAAACAGAACTTGTTCCTCGTGAATTTTTAAAGGACCCCTTTCTGCGTCCTCAGGCGTATTGGGTCTTCAGTGTTATACCTACAGTTCATAGACCAATAGGCACTCCGTGCGTGACGTGGTCAACATCCCGCTAGCCGCCTTCACTTCCCATTTAAGTCCAGGTCGTCCTGCCAGCGAATGTCATTTTTTGAGAAAAGTCAGATTCCATTCGGGTTTGCATCCACGACCCTTGGATCAGCAGTACCACAGCGGCTCCCCCTCATGACCAAAAGGACTTATTATTAACTACTATTACTGTTAGAAGCCTGACTTTTTTCAAAAATGACCTTGGCTCTCAGGTCGACTCAGCCTTGAGTGGGTACCGGGTGCAGTCCCGGGAAGTAGAGGCGGCCGGCGTGATGCTGACCACATCACCCAACTTATGCCGATTGGTCTATACAAAATATAGGTCTAGCCCTAAATGCCCTATACGCCTAAAGGAGTGGAACAGGGTCCTTTACTTTACTTTACTTATTACTGTTACCATTATACTTTGTCTAGTGACTGACGCTTCTGGCGAGTCGATTGGAGATTTGTGCAACCCTCACGGAGAAGAAATAAAGAACAGTTTCCTGGTTGGCCACCCGTCCCTGTGCAATGCATTCCTCACCTGTGGCGGGATTGCATGGTCTACCCCTTGCACGTTCTGTCCAGAAGCCATGTATTTCTCGCAGGTAAATATACTTGCATTTTATAGAATGAAAAACATCTTGTGCAATATGTCCTTGCCATTAGGAGTTAGAAAAAGATTTTTTTTGCTTGCTACATACATCCAGTTTTAACATATGGCTGTGAATCCTGGACAATCGGTAGGCAGGCCAAACAATTTCTTGAGGCCTCAGAGATGTGGTTTTACAGAAGAATACTTAGAATACCTTGGACAGCCAGAAAGAGCTCGAAGACAACTTATCACAGACATCAGAGGGAGACAGTCATCATTTTTTGGCCATGTTATGAGAAGAGGGAAAATAGAACTTGTTGTGACCACTGGAAAGATCTGTAGAAGGAGGGATAGAGGAAGACAACGAGAGAAGATTCTTGACAGTCTTGACTGATAAATGCTGCAGGAGATCGTAAATTGTGGAGAGGCATGATCGCCCACGCGTCAGCAAGGCACCTGCTGATGATGATGAAATATACTTGTATGTGGGCTGGGTAGAAATTTGTGTAGTTTTGACTAAAGTAAAAGAAAAGGACCCTTTCGCCTTCAGGCGTATTGGGCATATAGGGCTACACCTATATTTTATAGACCAATCGGCTTTTGGTGGGTGATGTGGTCTACGCCGGCCGCCTTTACTCTTTAGGGCTGTACCTGGTACCCACTCAAAGCTGGGTTTACCTGCGAGATAGGCCATTTTTTGACAAAAGCCCATTTCCGTCAGGATCCGAACCGACGATCATCAGGCGAGCATGTAGCCGCTACACCACGGCGACTCCCAGTTTTGACTAAGGCAAACAAAAGTCAGATAGTTTAGTTTTAACTAAGGCAAACAAAAGCAAGATGCGTATAGTTTTGACTAAGGCAAATAAAAGTCAGATACGTATAGTTTTGACTAAGGCAAACAAAAGTCAGATACGTTTAGTTTTAACTAAGGCAAACAAAAGCCAGATGCGTATAGTTTTGACTAAGGCAAATAAAAGTCAAATATATATTGTTTCTGACAAAGTAAGAAATTACACTCAGACACACACACACACACACACACACACAACACCAACAACTCATACACACTAGATTTTATTTGTAACCGTTTTGTTAATACAATATGATGCTTTTAATATCTTGGTCATAAAATATCAGAGATCCGATATGCCGATGATACAGTATTACTATCCACAGCACAGACTAGTATAGAAAACTTAATAACCTCAACACAAAGAAATAGTGAAAATCACAACTTATATCTTAACATAGCAAAAACAAAGATAATGCATACAGATAAAACTACAATGGAGAAAGAAATATATGTTAATGAGGAAAGACTGGGCGTTGTGGACAATTTTGAACATCTTGGGTCATTGATTACCAACAATGATGACACAATAAAAGAAATTGAACAACGACTTTTACTTGGTCTACAAAGATTAAAACAACTAAATAAATTATGGAGCGGGACAGACAGAACTACAAAAATTAGATTTCTAAGAGCATGCATCTTTCCCATTGCAACATACTCCTGTGAGACCTGGACACTTACTAAACAAGCTGAACAGCACATAAGTGCCCTGAAATACAAATGTTATAGACGGGTTCGAAGAATATCGTGGGTAAAGAGAAGAACAAATACATCCATACTTCAAAAACTAAATATTCAAGAAGGTTGGCTATTAAAGACGATAAAATACAGGAATATGTTGGTTACGAAAGTTTATAAAGAACAATAATAGAGGGGTAAATGCCTGGGAGGGAGTCGCCGTGGCCGAGCGGCTAGACGCTCGCCGCGGATCGGAAGGTCTTAGGTTCGCTCCCTGGCGGAGCCGGACTTTTTTCAGAAATGACCTTGGCTCCAAGGTCGACCCAGCCTTGAGTGGGTACCGGGTGCAGTCCCGGGAAAGTGAAGGCGGCCGGTGTGATACTGACCACATCACCCATCTTGTGCCGATTGGTCTATAAAAATATAGGTCTAGCCCTATATGCCCTATACGCCTTAAGGCGTGGAAAAGGGTCCTTTACTTACTTTACTTATATGCCTGGGAAGAGAGGAACAGGAAGGTCAAAGAGAGGATGGGTGCAGGATGATCTCCAGATGGGTGTATCGGACGCAGGACATCTTGCTTTTCATCAATAAGTTTCCAGGAGGGTTGTTATGGGAGCATGGTTCTGCAAAGGAGACGCTACTGACTGACTGAACCGTTTTGTGGCTCCCAAATTAAACTGTGCTGTATGACTATATGGTTATACGGGGTTTCTGATATTATTACCTGTGTGATTCTCATCCTTGTGGTGTTAATCTACAGATTGCAAATCTGACTGGAAAATCTTTATATATATATATATATATATATATATATATATATATATATATATATATATATATATATATATATATATTTTATATATATACATATATATGTATAAACATACATACAATTTGTCTAGTTCTGACTAAACTACCGCAAATCTACTTTCATCTTGTTTTTATCTACACGCTTAATTTGAAGATGAAGTAGAATATGTCATTCATACCGCTCCTAGACTAAAGGCGACAGGCTAAGACCATTGATACAGTATCCACTTTCAGAAGTACAGATGGGCTTTTGACGAAACAGAAGTTGCACATGTGCCTTTTATACATTGAGACAACTATCAGAGAGAGCAAGAGAACACGATAAGACATGTTTGCTGACATTCATAGACCAGGAAAAAGCCTTTGATAGAGTCGCAGGAATAAGTGTTGTGGGAATTTACTGGGGAAAAGAAAATCAGCAATCATCTCATAATATTTATAAAGCCTGCACACACGTAGTAAAAACTGCAAAAGATCGAAGGCAGGATTGTCAGGAACTTTTACAGTACACTGGTGTGCGTCAGGGCTGTGTACTATCGCCACTTCTTTTTATAACATTCACGGATACCATACGTAATGAAACGAGCTTTAATCATGAAGAAGATATTACAGAATTACTATTTGCTTACAACCAGATAAGGTACTCATAGTAAAAAGTACGGAATGACTACAGAACCACCCAAATCAAATTAGTAACAAATATATATACATATACATATACATACATATATATATATATATATATATATATATATATATATATATATATATATATATATATATATATATATATATATATACACACACACCAAAGATACTTCAACAGAGACCTTGTACATAATGTTTCTAAGAGGTAGGGAATGAGGGTGCTTACATTACCTATGGCCAAAGGCTCCCCCCACCCCCAGTGCTCCTGCTATTACATATAACTTCTGTACAGGTCAAGATTTGTATTAGGCAATATGTAATGGCTTCAGAGTGTCTTCTGGTGTGTGTTTATTTTCTTTTCCCCTCTTTCTTCTTCTTCTTACAGCCAGGTGTGTGCTGTTGGCAGTCATGACTATCCACAACCTTCTGTCTCTTGTACTTACAATGAGTTCTGACAAAGATGATTCTCTATGCCACTATGTCAGACTCTCCGGCATCCTTTCTCTCGGTCCTTCTCTGCCTCTTTTGTGTTCCAACTTACCCACCGTCACGATGTATCAAGTTTTCTCTTTTACACGATACGACCAAAGAATGAGATTCTCTTCTGCGGGCCATCAGATCTTTTCGTAAGTAAGTGTCGTTCAAGACACTTTCACTACTTTAAAAAAAAAAAAATCTATGTAGGGGTATTCTCATCATTCGTCTCTAAAACCATATCTCTGCCGTTTTCAAATAATTTTCATTAATCGTTTCTTAATTCTTTCCTTTAAAGGTAAAAAGGTAAAGGTCCCTTTTCCACACCTTTAGGTGTATTGGTAATATAGGGCTAGATCTATATTTTGTATAGATCAATCAGCACTTGGTGGGTGATGTGGTCAACATCACGGCAGCCACCTTTACTTCCCAGGATTGCACCTGGTACCCAATGAGGGCTAGGTCGACCTGGGAGTCAAGGTTATTTTTGAAGAAAAAATCCAGCTCCATCCGGACGCGAACACATGACCTCCCAAACCGCAGGCAGGCGTCTAGCCATGGCGGCACAGTGACTCCCAATTATTTTCTTAATTCACTATAAATTCTAAACAATACAGTTGTATTAATTTCTTAATGAATTCTTTTCAACAGAAGGAACGAGGATGTCGTGACCACAGATTTCTGGACCTGACAGCTCTTTGCCAAGGAAGAGAATATGTACAACACAAAGACAAGGTCAGCAGACAGCTGGACGGATCATGTACACATCATGGCATTAGACATAACGCAACTGGAACTCAGCTGAGTAATGGTCGAAACAACATCAGCAGAAATAGTGTTTCTGACAGATTTGGAACTGTTATGTTACCGGATAACAATATCACTAAACAAGATGGCAACATTATTCAAACAACTATAGGTTCCAATACAAGATTTAATGAAAGTCAAGGCCGTCCAATTTATCCTGCACGAAATCAAAGCTTCCCCACACCTGTTGATGAGTTTGGATGGAATCGAACCATTGCCAATATTGGGTCAAACTCTGATAACTCTACCAGAGTTACACAATTTGGAGATACATTTTTGTCTAGTAACAACAGTCAAGACTACATGAAAAACAGTTCACCCACTGGTCAAAATCAGAATTACGATAACGACCAATACAGCACAAATGGCAACAATAAAAACACTTCTGTATTAGATACAAGTAGAAGAAACAAAACCAGAACACAGGATTTTAGCAAATGGAATGGGGAAACGCCAGCAAGTGGGGTTTATCAAAGAAATCATAATATTACTGATGTCAAGCAAGAACAAAATTATTGGTCACATGAAGCTAACAGGGATCTTCTGGAAAATGAAACAAGAAGAAACGATTCTGAACACAACAGGCAGCCTCAAAATGAAAACAGTTTTCCACCCAGATATTTTGACACCAAAGTAGATAGTGTTAACAACTCATCAAGGAACAACAACTCACAATATGAATCAAATAGCATTGACAAAAGTACAGGTAGCAGCAACTGGTCTGGTAATAATGGAGCAGATGTCGATTCTTACGATCCAAATGCCACAGAGATGGACAGAAAAGATGGCCAAGACACAGGGGTAACAAATTACAATGTCACTTCCAGGGGTGTGCAGTTCACGCC